TAGTGGCTTTACTTTTGTTACTTCACTCTTCTCATTCTTTATGTTATACAGCCTAACTACAACGGATATACCACTCACTGATGGAGCGAAAATTAGAGCAAAGTGTACTGCAGGAACAGCGGACGCAGCAAGGAGCCATATTTTATTTAGGCGAACTAGAGGAACACCACTAAGCCCGCGGACTGCCCTTGCGGCGTTGACAGTGTACGCGATCAAGAGATCCGGGTTGCAGCAACTTGCGGAAACTGAGTCACGCGCGCTGCGACTAGTGTTCATATGCCGTGAAGGCGTCTCCTCTTGCAACCGCCTTCGACGAGCTGCCGCAACTTGAATGTCTTGACCGGCATGTTGAAGCTTTTTCTGTGCACTCAGTCCTGTTGAACGGGTCGAACACCAGTGAAGAGAGTGAAAAGACGTAGAGCGGCGTTGGTCGGTTCAGGAAGGGAGGGGGAGGGCACTAGTTCGTTGGTTCCTGGTAACTTACACCTATCGCCTTGGTGAGACCTGTAGACTTTTGTGCAGTGCAAACGAAACTCGTACTCCTGCATAACTTTAGGTGTTTACAAGTTTCCACAGAGGCGGCAGCAACGATCCATTAGAACCAGTTAAAAGCGAATGCGTAACAAGACAACCGTAATATGCCGCGCTCGTGGGTGTGGCGAGCGACTCCGCGCTCAATGGACGAGCTGTCCTTTGGCAGTCACATTGAGGCCGCTTGAATATGACTTTTTCTCGGGCTTTCTCGGGCTTGAATATGACTGCTAAAGGACAAAAAAATTCGTTATCACCGCCCCGTACTGTGGAGCCTTGTCTCCGCTTGTAATCATACGAGTTTCGCTGCTCCAATCAACAGATTGATGTACATTGAGAATTTGCGGCGCATCATGATATACTCGAAATCCCTGAGGTTTGGTAGGCGTGGTTCATTCTTCAACTTAAACTTGAGGTGTCTATGCTTCTGGTGGGATATTTCATCTTGACACAACTGTTGTCGTGTCTCTGTCCAACACAGAACAAGATGACAGTTGTCCCAGACTGGAATATTCCACGAGTAACCAGTTCCGTGCCATGTTCAAATGCCACGCCTACTCTGGCTCAGGGATAAGAGTACGTAGCGCGCGCGACGGTGCGACAAATTATAATTGCCTGCGAAATGCCCCTTCCACCACCACCAAGGTATGCTCTCGCAGACGCACTTCGAATGGAGGGCTCATCAAGCAGGAGGTCCATTACTAGGGGAAACTCGTTTATTCCCATCCACGACAGCTGTCCTTTGTTAAATATTTTTGAAATGAAATCATTCAAGAGATCAGAACAATGAAGCACACCTTTCTTCTTCCTTCCTGCTACACTCTCTTCGTACTTCTGACGTTTCAGCTTTCGCTGTAGCCGCTTCTCTCGGGCTTTCTCACGCATTTCCTTCAAATATATGAGTATATATGTACTTCCAAAGTCATTTACATAACTGCATTACTAACCTTTTCTAGGGCCTCCTTACATTTGTGAAAGTTCTCGACTACAACTCCGACGAACATATTCAGTACGAAGAATCCGACAAGCAATAGAAACGATATGAAGTAGATCATACGCCACTCATTGTAATTCTCGATTGGCTAAAATTAGAAGCTTTTCAGCTAGGATTGACCAGTAGGGCTACTTCTGCGACTGCTGGTAATTTCGTAAGATTAGAAGTACTGCGCAATCCACATGTCATATATCACGTCCTACTCTCGACTGTTTCCAGAGCTGCCCAACAAACCTGAATATCCACTCCCACTGCATCTATTCCTTGATACATAATAGAAACCCAACCGTCCTTACTTGACAACACAA